CTGTTAATCTAACTGTGCCTGTTAGAATGTGATTTTTCAGGTTTTGCTACATCAATTTCTTTCTACTCTAAATATTTTCCTATTTTCATCTGTTTACGTTCACGAATTTTTAAATTAAAGTCTTCTAGCTTTTGGATTGGTTTTGTATTGAGTTTATGTTAGCACAATGAGAACAGACATATTCATTAGTCAAAATGTTATTATGGAGTGTTCATAAGCTTCTGGAATCCTCTATTCTCTTTCCCTGCTCTACTCCTTCCATTAGGAAATTATGACCTCAATGTTGTACCAATTCTCTAGTTTTCCTTTTTAATTGTACTATCTGCACACGAAGCCCTACTGTTTTCCTGGGTTTGAACTTCACATCACAGTACTCACACTAGCTCTGACTTGCTTTTTATTATTATTATTATTATTATTTTTTTTTTTTGCAGAACCCGGGTTTGAACTCAGGCCCTTGCGCTTGCCAGGGAAGCGCTTATTCCACTGAGCCATCCCTCCGGCCCCTGGCTTGCTTCTTTTTCTCAGTATGGTTTCTAGAGTTCATCCACACTGACACTCACAGTGTAGCTGACGCACTTACCGCTCTACAGAACTCTACCAGGCAAACAGACATGTTTACCCACCACGCTGCTGACAGGCACTTGGCTCCCTCTTTCCCTTCCTTCTTTTTTCTATGCCGAGACTGAACGCAGGGCCGTCAGTTTGCTAGGTCAGTGCTCTACTACTGAGCTCCATCTCCAAGCTCTTCTTCTAGGTTGCCACCATTACGGCTGTTCATGTAAGCACACTCCTGCACCTCTTCTGGCGCCGCCCACGCATGTGAGTTTTCTAAGTGTATAAAGTGGGCTCTTGGAAATGCCTGGGCTCACTTCCCCAGGTGGGACTGACAGATGAACAAAAGCAACACATCACTGCTGTCACCATTTCTCCACTTCATATTTTCAGGCTTTAGTTTCTGCCAATTTAGTGATAATAGCATTTACAGATTTAATAAGCATTTCCTGATTACTAAATAAGGCTGAACATCTTTTCATGTTTATGAGCCACTTGTTTTTTCTAGAAATGCCTATGTTCAGTTCCATCTCTCTTAAGCTGTTTTCATTACTAATCTACACTCAAGTGCTCCTTAATAGTGAAGTGTATGCTGCGAATATCTATATCCTTTTTTTTTAATTTGTGTGTGTGTGTGTGTGTGTGTGTGTGGCCAGCTCAGCCCACCAGGGGGCGGGGCGCGCTGGCATGTGGTGCTGGGGGATTGAACCGCGGTCTCTGTGCTTTGCTAAGCTTGTTCTAAGTAGGTGCTTTAGACCACTGAGCCATCTCTCCAGCCCCGCGAATATCTGTATCTTGTCCTTGGGTCAGTTTTCACCCTGAGGCTTACCGGTATTTACTGTCAATATGCCCCAATCATTTCACTGTTAAGTGATATTTTTGCACTACCCTGCCCATGAAATCCTGTCCTGTGCCAAAGTTGTTATATCATGTTAAAAAAAATTAGTTATGTGTTTATATTAATATTTATATCATTTATGAGGAGCTGGTACACAAAACATCTTTTTTTGGGGTGTTGGGGCTGGCTCAGCCCACCCTGGGGGCGGGGCTGGCATGGCATGTGGTGCTGGGGATAAAACTGCTGTCTCTGCACTTTGCCTAAGCAGGCGCCTTAGACCACTGAGCTATCTCGCCAGCCCCACAAAGCATCTTGATTACTTGGTTCATCCCCGTTCCTTGTCCTCTTCTCTTGATCCCATTTCCACATGAGAAAGATTTTCCTACTTCCTATTAGCCTCAATGCTGTAATGTTGCATTTTACAGTAAATTTTATAATCCTACAGTGATAGCTGTTTTCCTATTTCACTCACTTTTTAGGACTGCTGAGTACTGTAGGTCCTGTGAACCTGCATTTGTATCTGAGGATCACCTGTCAAGAGTCACAATAAAAACCACTGGGAATTTAATAAGGAGTGGTACTGAGTCTATCAGGCAATTTGGAGAAAAGGTTTACCCTTGGTAAAATTGAGACTCTTCACTCACCACATCTTCATTTAGTTAGAAATCTACATGGCTTTGGTTTTTTAAAAATTATCTTCTCATTAAGTATCATATACTTTTCATTATGTACTTCACATTTTTGTTCCTACTATAAGTTGTATTTACATGTTTAAAATTAAAATGCATTACTCTATGTGGCTGGTACATAAAAGGGAAATTGATATTTGCATACTGATTTTCTCCCAGGTATCTTGATAATTATTTTTTGTTCTTTAAGCCCTCCCCTCCCCAATATTCTAGTGATACAGAGTTCAAAGAATGTAATAATTTGGAACTTTCTAATCACTAAAGTGCCTAATAACATATTTCAAAATATGTAAAGAAAAATACTGGCACAACTACAAGTAGATTAATATACCAAATACATTTCAGCACCTCCCTCAGTAATTAATATTTTACTGAATTCACTATGTAGCCCAGGCTGGCTTCCAACCTGTGTCAATCCTCCTGCCTCAGCCTTCTGAGTGCTGGGAGAGCAGGTATGTCCCACCATGCGCAGCCCCCTCGATAAACCCTTAATTCCCGTGATTTGTATTATTGTAGACTCTCTAGATTTTCATAAACAATCTTCTCATACAACTTTAATCCATTAGTGTTACATTAATTGATTTTCTAATAGTAAACCAATCTTGAATTTCCTGAGATACAGGACATCCAGTTGGGTCATCATCTGTTATACTCTTTTTAGTCTTGGTTTGCAAGCAATGTTTATTTTCCTGCTGAAGGGTATAATGTATTCACAAACACACACACACACACACATACATACACACACACTCTCATATTCAACCTACTTCAAATTTATTACTGTGCTATTTAACCTGTCAGCTTAACAATCCTAGTAATGGGTCTTCTGCATGATCTATTAATTACTGAAGGAGGTGCTAAAATGTCCATTATTTTGGCATATTAATCTACTTGTGGCTGTGCCTATCTTTTTCTTTACATATTTTGAAGTACTTAGGCACATTAGTGATTAGTAAGTTTCAAACTGTTCTATTCTTTGAACTCTCTATCACTAGAAAATTAGGGAAGGGAGGGCTTAATATTAATAATAGCAAACAAAGACTCAGTAACTTACCCAAGAATTTGTGAACAGTTAAGCTAAGATGAACTTCTGACCTCAGATTTTGTGCATAATAGTCTTTTATCATGAAATTTAACATTTTAGAATTTTGGATAATTGAGAAAAAGGCCACCAAAAAAAAAAAAAAAACAAAAAAAAACCTGAAATACGCATACAGAGCTGATTCTGGCAGAAGTTCTATATTCTATTAAAATGAAGAAAAGCTAGAAGGATGTTTAAACAGCATCCTACCCAGCTGAGATGAAACTGAAAAAGGGAAACTGTTAGGTGACTTAAATACAAAGCTAAAATCACTGAATTCTGCCAGACCTGATTAAAAGGACGCCACCTATATGCACACTTCACACGCCTACACACATCTACAACAGAATAGGTTAAAACAAATAAAAACCCAGGGCATTCTGAGAACAGTGCTGGAAAACATACTGGCAACACTGGAAGAGAAAGAGACACTGTAATTGTAACTAAAAAATACAGAGTATTACTTCTGGTTTCATATTAGAAAAACACAAGAGAAATAGAGAAAATATAGCTAATTTGTGCAAAAAAAAAAAAAAAATCCCAAAGTTTTGCTTGAAGGCTGTTACGACTTGTGTCTAGCTGTATCTCTGAAGCCTCACGTGGTCATAGGTATGCCTTTTTCGGAGGTGGCCACACTGGAAGTGTGCCTTTTTCAGGTTGTGTGATGCTGGCACTGATTTAAGGTACAATGCTAGGATCAAAGGCACTAGAATTAAGGGTTATGTGCTACCTGCTCTAAATAGTCTGGATAAGACAGAAGGGACAGAGAGAGCTACGGTCGTCCCTTGTTGCTTTGCTACCTTCTGCTGCCCATGAACAACATGTTTCTCCTCTGTGATGCCTTCTGCCACGCCACCCTGCCTTGGAGCCAGCAGACCACGGACTGAAACCACTACAAACTGTGACCTAAACAAACCTCTACCCCCTTTAACTGTGAGCACTGGGTATTTTGTTTCAGCAATGAGAGAGAAGTAACTAAGACAAAGGCCCACAACAGAAAGATATACGAGTATTAAATCAGAGAAAGAAAAATTACATATATGCCTACATGCACACTACACACACCCACAGAACATGCAAAACTTTCTATGTATAGTTACATGCAGTTTTTTAATCACCATGCAAGGGTCAGGACCAGCACTCACCCTGCCCTGCCAGGTAGTGAACTGTTGTGACAAATAGATGCCAAGTGTGGTTACCACTCAGGAGGCATTAGAATATAATTTAGGTAAAAGCAATGTATATGCTATAACAAAGTTCCTGTGAACCAAGCATCAAGGCCAGAGATAGCTGTGCAAGATTTACAACATAACAAGGCCAAGAATCTCTGTACAAGATTTATCTCATTAACCACAATGGTTTAGATTGATCTTATACACCCTAACAGAGGAGTGATTCAAACTCCACCAAGGGTTAAAGGTCAGAGGCAAAGTCAGTGGCTGTGCATCCCATGTCAATTACTGTTTCATCCATCTTTTTGTTTTTCTTGGATTAATAACCAAGCAACAACTGTTATGAATTTACTATGCCTTCTAACCAACAAGCACCACCAGGAACAAGACCTTACTGCTTCCTCCTTGCCCTGGCTGGGCTGGTGGGTGGAGGAAACCTCTTGCCCCCATACAACCTCCAAAATTATAGATAAGCACTCCTGTTTCTAACCATAGCTCACCACACTTCACACTTGAATAATTTCTCCTGAAATGCATCACTGTAAAACTGACAAATTGGACTAACGGGAGCAAATAAACTGCCATCTGTTTAATAAAGCACACCCTAGGAGAATAGCCACAATCTTATTGCATTTAGTACATAGTTACAACGTTGAAATGACATGTGAGAATTAATACAAAATATTTATTTTTTTCCAAACCACAGAATTAACCCCAAGCCACCCTATAAATTTCCCAGAATTATAATCCGTAAATGTTTTCTAATCAATGCAGTCCAACCTGAAATGAAGACATTTCCAACCAGCGGGGGTGCAATATATATACCAGGGTCCTGTAAGAATTGATCTCCATCATATCTTCAATTCTCTCACAGCCACTCTGTCAACATAAGCTGAAACAGTATGTGGATTTATGCCCCTCAGCTCTGGAAAGAGGTTCACAACAGGGTCTCAGACAGTGGAGGGGGCAACAGTGACTTTGATCAATGGGGGAAACAAAAGAACTGTTTCCCTGGGAAAGCACTCCTTTCACAAACCTTGGCAGCCAAATGTGAGGCAAATTTTCTTAGGGCAATAATGGCAACAGGACAGCCATTTCTCTGTGAACTCTTCTTAGAAGCTTCACTTTAACTTCTGGTACAATGAATACCTTACAATCTTACTGAAAACAATAATCACAACTAAAAAGGTTCTATAATTCTGTTATAGGTATCAGTCAAAGAGTTCACATTCTGACCTTGGATTTTAACATCTCATAAAGACATCTATACCTGTATTAAAGTAAACATAGTATTCCAAGCTAAAACATCAGTAATGCCCCATTTAAAAAAAAAAAATCAAATTGAAACATCCTAACAGTGGTGAAATAGCTAATGCAGAATTTTTCTGTTGCTTTTCAGTTTGCTTTCATATCTCAGATTAGTGTATACTCATAAAACAATTCTGTTAGTTTAATAATAGCTGCTTATTAAGCAAGGGAATTTTACCTAAATGGCAACATCTTTCTTCTGCAATCATGGAAATAATTATCTGAAGTTAAGATAAGAGAACAATCAGTAAAATATGGGCAGCCTCAATAAGACAAATTCTGGAAGAGTTATTTACTCTGATTACAGGGAGATGCAACAGGATTATTTCAATACTATGATACAAATGCTCCTGCTCACTATATAACTGCAGAAACCAATTCTGTTTGCTACATCACTGTTACCTTTGCTAGGTGTACAGACTACTCTGAAGTTACCCTTTTGTGCTAAAAACCTTCCAACTCATTTGGTCTGTACAGAATATTGCAAGGTGAAGCACGTGCAAACTCTTCCTGAGGAATGTTTTATGTGTGCAAATGTGCAACCCAACAGAAAGCACAGCAAACAGCAAGGGAAGTGACAGCCAGACAGGCTGGAGCAGGGAAACCCGTGTCATGGTCACGGGCATCTGATCTCACCTGCTCACTAACTACCTGCATTTTAATAAGAGGGACTTGTAGAAGAGGCAGGAAAAACACTTTTCTGCAGAGTTTAGCAATGCAAAACAGACCCAAGTGCTTCTTCTTACTAGTCCTGCCTCAGAACTATTCAGTCAAGAATTACAACACCAGGCTTTGCCTTTTGGTACCCCTTCCCCCCACCCCAACACAAAGTAGTAGTAATTCCTGCCGGGTTAGGGTGTAGCTGTGATAACAGAGATCATGAATTCTCTTGTTACATAAGCTTAAGGCCAATCTTTAAAATACGTACCGTCTCCTAAAACAATATTATCTATTTATTTGACATGCATTATTTGAAGATGACTGACCTGGCTCCTGGCTCTCTAAGTGTCTAGTGTTCAGCTGTGCATATGTACTAGCCAGTCTAGCCATATCACTTGCATGTATTGACTAACCAACTGGCAGATAAAATACTCCAATGATTTGGATCTTCAGTGATTTCATACAAAAGCCAGTATTTAGCTGGGGTGGAAAAACCGTGTACTGTCCTGGCAAGAATACAAATAAATGGGAGGAAAATACTTTCTGGCAAACAATAGTATTCAGCCAATAAAAAATGAAATGGGCACAAAATTTTATTTCATGTTATAAGCTAAGAATTCTGTGAAGAATTTCAAGTAATAAGTCATCTCAATCTTTACTTAAAGGAATAGCTTTCACACTGCAGTATACCTTAAGGGGCTATGAGATTCATAACAGCCAGGTCATATGCACTAGGTGAAGGGGTACACTCTTCAGGATACCTTCTAATAACAGCTTTGGGGTACCAACCCTGACCCATAAGCTGGTCATAGTCAATATGCAAAAATTTATGAGAAACTAAATTTTCACAAAAAGCTTTCCTTTTCCTAACTTTTTTTTGTTAACATACACAATAATAAAAAGAATATAAAATATTTCTCCATTAAGTTAATAATGCAAAGGCATCCAAAGATTTTAATGCCAACTTACATCACAGTACAATGCTTTTTTATAGGGAAAAGTCTTCTGTTATTTGCCAAAAAAGAATGTTCTCTCCCAGAAAAAGGACTTGAGTATGTTATTAGGATACTGAAGAATTCATCCATGTTTAAAGAAATGTTCCAATTTTATTCCTTTCAGATATATCATCAAAGCCACTCAGGAGACACTTCGTCCCAGGTACTACTTATAAGCCCACAGCAAACATTCCATTGAGCAAAGTAAAATTTAGGCTTCGTGATAAAATGGAATTCTTTCTTGATACTAGAATATGACTAGTATAGTAGGTCACAGAGCCTGTATATGTTCTTAGAGTGATTCAGTGTTCATGAATACAGTCCATAATGCTCAGGATGAATGAGTCCAACTAAAGCCCTCCCCAAAATGCAGCAACTGGCTGATGAATACTTAGAACCGTATCTCACCTTTACTTTTTACAAATCAAGGATTTCTATCAGATGACATAGATATCCCACTTCTAAAGCCTGTGTCCATCACACTCCCCTAAAAGGACACACTGAATTGGTAAACAACTCTATGAAAAACCTACAAATCAGCAGTGTGGTGACATCCCTGGTATCTCTTCTGTTCTCTGAAGAGGTAACTATCATTAACCCAATGGATTGAAGCCTATGCTCAATTTACATTCAAACAAAACAGAAGAAAAATGTTTTTTTCTTGCTGTATCTTGCAATTTTTCTTTGCATTTCAAAAACAACTAGAATAAGCTTTAGAGGCTCTTATGGAGAATTAATTAGCACTGTAGGTGTGGTGACACAGAAAATGTAGCTTTCTCACGGCTAGAAGCCATCCTTAAAGCAGTAGTGTGACTTCTTCCCTATTCCATTGAAACCTCAAATATGTTGTTAAGGAGATGCAGAATGCAGATCACTTTTTAAAGTACTCATCTCTTCCACTGAAATGAAATGAATCAGGAAGTCCACACCATGTAGTCTATTTGGTTTTAGTAACTACAATGCTCCCTAGGGTGTCAGAGGAAGCTGCTCCTACCACTGCACACTTCCCTACAGTAGAAAAAGAGATGTTAATGCTGCAATGTCACCCACCACCCCACTCCAGGGACAGGTAAGATCAGGTGAGGTGATGGTGGAATGGAGGTGTTGTGTGAGAACTGGTCCTCGTAGTAACATAAGCATGCCCTGGTGCCACGGGGGGAAGGGGATCTGACCAATGTGCAACACATTTCTACTTCCCCACTTAATATCCTGCCACACACTTGACATTTTGGTGGGTTGGCTCAGAACGCCAGCAACTTCTCCAGGAAGCATTTGTAAGTTTGATAATACCATCACACAGTTGCAAAGTGCACAGAGCTCAAGGCACAGAATAAGAAAGGGTTGTGAATCAATGGGGGAAAGGGTCTAGTGAAAGGTGGGTTGGGATTTTCCTTTAACCAGACATTCTAATGCTGAACAAAGACCATTCTTATTTTAAAGGTGGCTGTCTGGGATACAAGTGGAAAATACTGTATTGTAACCATCTGCTTGGTTTAAAGCAAAAGATACCTTGACATGTGAACCAATAAGAAGTGCCAAGTCCATAAATGAACGTAACAAGTGCTTAAAAAAAAAAAAAAAAAAAGATTTCTTCTTCCCTTGTTTTTTTGGAGGACACTGCTGATTCTGGCTCTTGGATTTCACTTAGCAATGGTCACTTTCCAAGATGCTTGCTCCTCACAGAATCTGTAGATGAATTCACTAAAAGATTGTCCCATGTCGTAGTCACCCCCAAGTCTAGCAGCAACTGTTTTTGTTTTTTGTTAGTTTTTTAAAAATTACAAACCAAAATAAGAAGTCCAGCATCTTCTCCCAAGAGCAGCCTCACGACAGACCTCCTGAGCGCTGCAGGCTGCGCTGCACCCTGGACACAGTCTCTGCAGCTCCAGTGCTTCCTCTCTTGGGAGGAAAGTACATTCAGCACATTTACTATCTGTATCCCCTGGAACTTGCACATGCAGAGGAGCTGTCTGAAAAAACACCACAACAGGAAAAAGCATGAAGACCAGACAGCACTTGAGAAGGGAAAAAAGAAAATACACATTTATTCCAAATGTTTTCTTATTCTTCTCCCAATCCCTCCAAAGACTTTCTTTCTTTCTTTCTTTTTAGGGAGGGGTCTACAGGGTGTTCAGGGTCTCATTACTAGATGGGACTCATAGTGATCTGCCTGTTTACAGCCTCCCAAGTGCTGGGATTACAGATGTATGCCACCACACCCAGAAGAAAACTTATTTTAAAAGCCCCTTAAAATCATGTGGTGCTGGGAAGCGGGGACCAGAGAATTAAGATGTGTTATGTACATGCACCAACTCCCCATGATGAACGTAATCATTATGTACTGCATACATGTAAACAATTTTTCAAAAATCATGTGGTTCTGAATGAAGTTAAATGAGTCAAACAAGATAATAAATGTATCCTGGGCTATTTATCCCATCTGTATAGACAATTAAAGAATCTACTAGTGTCTTGGCAGCTGCCTTAAAACCACTACCAACGTTAGAGCTGCCGAATTTGAACAACAGCCCAGCATAGATCACACAGTGCCTCCTGACAGCACTGTGAAGACCACGTGGCTATCAATATGATTTAATCACAAACCATCAGTGGCCATCTAGCATCAAAATCCATCAAAGACAGGAAGAAACATTATTACTTACTATAAGCCAACTCGTCCCCAGCTCTCTTCCGGGACTGGTCACCTCTAGGGATAACAAAGGAGGAGGCAGTAAACAGAACTGACTCATCTCTTCACATGCCAAAACAGCAGAAATGAATCAATATAAGTGATGGTGGAAGTATAGCAAATATTTCAGTTCTCACCTTACACGTTTAAAAATAGATACAAGCTGAGTCACTTGTAACCTTAGCTAAAAGGTACAGCCTCAGATATAGAAAATTATTAAGTGAAGGATCAGCTATAATTACCTCAGACTAAAAATAAGCCTTTAAGACAAGCCTGAATTCTGCTATCAACAACCCTAGTGATCTGCACACAGTAAGGCAATTTTCAAAGAAAAAACCTTCCCAGGCAACCAAAAACTCTTAAAGCCTTTGAAAACTCAAAACCTTAATGTGCCTTTTTATAGGCAGAGGAACACAAACCTTTACATATATTAACCAGCTCATGTTCAAATGCCCACAGGTCTTTCAGTTCCACCTTAGGGCCATTAAGAAGATAGAGGTTCTGTGCTACTTGCAAATCCTATGTGTGTTTCTCCAGCTACTCAGACAATATTAAAGACGAATGACTAAGATGCTTAAGTGATGAACCATACTGACCAGCTCACTACTGGCTTCTTCCTCAGTCTCTTGGCAGATTTAAGTGGCTGATCTCATTCTTCCTGACACACTTTTTTCCTTTAGCTTCCAACCTTCCTTGTTCTCCACTTGCCATTCTTTTGTTGAGCACTGTTGTTCCTCCAAACACTGTCCTAGGCTATCTATCCTTCAAGTATATTCTTCCTTAGTCTTGGAAATCAAAAGATGAACTGAGAAACAGACCTATTTCATTTTGGACTAAGAATCAATTTCTTAGCCTGGTGTGTTAGCATACAGTTATAACAGCAGCACCCTGGGAGGCTGAGGCAAGAGGATCCTAAGTTCAAGTCTAGCCTAGGCAGCACAGTGACTTAAGGACTGTCTCAAAAAAATTTTTTAAAAGGCTGACAAGGTAACTCAGTATAAAGACCTTGAATTCAACTCCCCCACCTCGTATCATTACAAAAACAAACCAATAAAAAAAAACCAGCAAGTGCTCCTAGAAATCAAAGAGGAAAAAATGACAGAGCAAGGAATAAAGGACATAATGGGCAGTTTGCAGAAAGACATGCTGTGAAACTATGCTCAGCTTTATAACAAGAGAAATCAAATCTAATTTTTTTTTTTTTTTGTACCAGGTATCAAACTCAGGATCTTATGCTTGCCAAGCAGGCACTTATGCCACTGAGCCATCTACACAGAAAATCTAAGTAATTTTTTTCACCTGCTAGACTGGAAAAATGTCTTGTTTTTGGTTTTTGTTGTTGGGTTTTTTTTTGGTACCGGGGATTGACCTCATAGACCGGAAAAAAACTTCAAGTGTAACAATATACAGTACAAATGAGGCCATGAAGTAAAAGCACTTTCTAACTCTGCTGATGGCTATGCAAATGGGACAGCCTCTACGGAGGGCATTTTGGTAATATTAACCACACTTATACATGTATTTACTCTTGACCTGCCATCCTATGTCTGAGCATTTACCTGGTGGATATATACTCAACAGGTATAAAATTATAAGCTGGCCTAGGTTCTCCACTGAAGTATTATCTAATATCAAAATGCAAGTGAACTACTGGGGACTGCTTAAATAAGCTACAATGCATCTAATATATTCATACAACGGAATGTGTGATAAGATATAAAAATGAGGATATAGCTTTTATTTCTTGTATCTGCATATGTACACACACACACACACACACACACACACACACACACGAAGGAATCACAAGAAACTAATAATGATTTAATGGCAAGGGAGCAGAAAGGAGAAAAGGGAAAGCAAAATGTTTCATTATACTCTATCTTTTTTTTTTTTTTTTTTTTTTTTTTTTTTTGGGCAGAACCAGGGATTGAACTCAGGCCCTTGCACTTGCCAGGGAAGCGCTTATACCACTGAGCCATCTCTCCGGCCCCTATCATTTTTATTTAGTGAATCATTAGCATACTGGCCTTCAAAAACGGACAGGTAAAATTGATTTAGCATTAAATAATGGCTTCATTTTATGTATGAAAATATTACAACTCAGTTTCAGTTGGAAATACTGCCTCCTTTCCCAACATCAATAAAAAAGTTAGCCATTTACACTCCAGCATTTCTCCCTGAGCATTCCTTCCCCTAGCCACAAGAAAGGGAGTCTACGTGGCCTATCTACACAGCTTCTTTTGAGGCTTTACAGTGCCAGGGAGGGGACTGCTTACACAAGCTATAATGCATCTAATATATCCACACAATGGAATGTGTGAAAAGATATAAAAATGAGGACATAGCTTGTTTCTTGTATCTGCATATGTACACATACGTGTGCGTGCGCACACACACACACACACACAGAAGGAATCACAAGAAACTACTAATGATGACAATTATCATCAGGGAGGGAGGTACACGGCCAGTGGGTTACTCAGTGCCCCCATTACCCATGAAGATAGGTGTCAGGGGGACTAGAAAGGGAATAAGTGCCAATCCAAGCACAAATAAAAAACAAGAAAAATTACCTTTCTTTCCAACCACTGCTGAAACAGACTTAGTGATCCCAGGCAAGGTAGTTTGACTGAAATTTAGTTTGGCCTTAGAACCTCAGAAAAAGGAAGTCTACCTTAATCCTAACCAGAGAAGTGATTCAACATTTAATCCCTTTTTTAAAAATGTATTTTGTTGTTACAGGATCTCACTATGAGGCCTGGACTCCTAGTGATCCTCCAGTTTTCGGCCTCCTCAGCACTGGGATTACAGGCATATAACACCATACCCAGTCTCTTGGCTGGCTCAGTTAGGTGGGGGGCTGCACAGCATGTGGTGCTGTGGACCCACCCCAGCTCCCTGCACTTGCCTAAGCTTACCAGGTGCTTTAGTTTGCTGCGCTATCTCACAAGCAGATTTTTTTTCTTTCTTTTTTTTTTGGCAGAACCGGGGATTGAACTCAAGCCCTTGCACTTGCCAGGGAAGCGCTTATTCTACTGAACCATCTCCCTGGCCCCTTTTTCTTTCTCTTCTCCTCTCTTCTCTTTTTTCCTTCCTTCCTTCCTTCCTTCCTTCCTTCCTTCCTTCCTTCCTTCCTTCCTTCCTTTTGCAGTACTGGGGACAGAACGTGGACCTTGAGCTTGCCAGGCAGTTGCTTATGCCGTTGAGCTATCTCCTCAGCCCCGATCTACTATTGAGTGTTTTACTGTCTCATTAGAAAGCTCGAACTTGTAGTGATCCTCCTGCTTTTAGCCTCCCCAATGCTGGGATTACAGGTACACACCACCATGCCTGGATGTGGTCACCTACACAGTGGGCCCAGGGGTGGGGCTGGCGCAGCATGCGCTGCCAAGAATTGAACCCCAGCCCCTGCGCAAGCAGGCACTTGGTCTGCTGAGCTATCTCGCTGGCCCTGCCCAATCTACTATTGTGGGCACAAGCAGGACTGAAACATCCCAGGTATCTTTTTTTCTTTTTACAATTTTTCTTTGATGTTAAGAATTCAAATATGAGAAGTTATATAAAGCAATTCTGGAAATCCACCAGCAGAGTTTGAAGGGGGTTGTTAATCATGGCCTTGCTTATAACTGTTACAGTTCTGGACTTCTACCAATCTAGTAGGTGAAAAAGAACCACTCAGAATTGGTTTAGTTTGCATTTCTCATATTATGAAGACATCCTAAAAGTAAGATGTATGAAAATAAAAGGTACTGCTGTGCCTTTAAATGATACAGTGATAAAACCAGGTGTTTCCCCACAAGGATTCATGAACATTTCATTGCACTTTATTTTTGTTTAAAAAATGCACTTTATAAATTTTTTTGAGATAAGGCTACCATGATGAAATGCAAAAAATTCTAAAAATAATCAAAATTTATATGTTAAAGGCAATGAAGGTAAATTTCTTTGGATATGTACAAAAAGATATCCTTTTTAATGAGAAAAAAAATAAAATGAAGAATTTAAAGTCTCTTTGCTAGCTTAGTAGTACCTTATACCTAATAAAATTTCTACAGTGTTTTACCACACATTCAGGACTAATATGAGAAAATCAAGCTGAAGAGCTCTTGGAAGTTGCCAAATGTTAACTGCTCACCAGCAAGAAATACCTTCTTCAAAATGCACCTGCAAAGGGTAGCTTCCACAAGTCCAAAACCAGCTCCAGTGTTGCCACAGTCCATCAGCTGATGACCTTGCCAGGCATAGCACCTTGGCCTAAGACCAACCAACACCTGTGCCTTCTAAGAACCTCAGAACCCTCCCTGCCTTCCCAAAATGGCCTGAAGAAAGGACACGCGTTGGCACTAAATGAAAAAGACAACTTGCCTTGTAAAGCCATTCTGTATAAGTTCTCTTTGAAGTTTCTGGTCCTGAGCAGCATATTCAGAAAGCTCAGATTCCATCGCCGGAGGGAGAATGTTTGGAATAAATTTAGAAAATAGAGTTGGAGCCATATGAACCCACTCTGTGAGGGAGAAAAAGATGGAACAAGGAAATCATATAGATAATTTTTTCTTTTGTTTTAAAGAACAAAAATATAGGCTATCCAACACTAGCATTTCCACTTAACTTCCATTTCAGCAAACTAAATTTTGACCTGTCTTTTAAGCTAATTAATTTACCAATCAAGGCATCAATTAAATAAAATAAGTGAATGGCTAGTAACAGTTAATGTGTGCATATTCATCATGCTATGAGATATAGTAGTGAACAAATATAGATGTTTTACTTGTCATTATTCCATTTATTTTTTTACTTTTTGGTACAGGGGATTGAACTCAGGACCTTGTACTTGTGAGGCAGGTGCTTAAGCTGCTGAGGTATCTCGCCAGCCCATGATATGGGCATGATTATACTCTTTGTAGCATGTTTTATTTCATTTAATCCTCAAATATAAGAAAGGTGATTACTGTCAAAAAGACATCTTGCGCATGTATGACAGTTGAATGAAGTTCTACTCTGAGAATATTACAACGTCTTCCTTGTGGGCATTTTATACCGGGCTAGATGTTAACTCTGACAAGCTGGAAGTTCTGGCTTACAAACAGGAATACACCTACAGATATGAGGATTTCTTCAATATGTAGTTCTTATTCTAAGATACATTAAGGTAATTTATAAGCCATTACTTTTAACATAATACTTTTTACTTGATGCTTCTGATAATGTATCTTCCCAAAGCACTCTTATGAGATCACTTTAATTTTACCAAAACCTCTAGATTCCTTGCCAGTTATACTACAGGCCTAAGATGGTCAGAGTTGCCAATGTACATGACTGTACATATTTGCAGTAGTGATGAAGACATTCCATCAATAACAAAGACAGCAATTAAGACCAAACATGAGCTTTAGTTTTGTCTGAAGCATATTCTATAATTATTTCTTATATTTCATTTCCTTTCACAGGAGCTATAAAAAAAAATCAAACTAAGTGATTTTTGACTATCACAGAAAGAGTTCAAGTGAGTTCTGAGTTTACTTTTCACACTGATCAGTATCTTCTCAACTTTTTTACCACAGCCAATTTAATATGCCACTCTGTCTCACAAAACTCCTAAAAAAAAACCCCACTGCCCTCTTGAATAAGGATGTAACATAAATAAGCAAACAAGCCCAAGCCCAAGCCCAACAGAAATGATGGCTTTTTACCTGGTCTGAGAGTATACAAGCCTTTCACGATGTTCGCCATAGTTGAAGGTGTGACCTGGAATGGTGTCGACTGGGCTTCCAAAAGTAAAGCTGAAATAGGAAGGCAGTAAAGAAGGATGTCAAGGACCCTGACTGCCAAGATTCCTGTTATGATTATTTCTCTCAAAGACCAAAAGGTAAACAAGTGCAAGAAAAATCAGCCCAAGAGGATAAATTGAATTTTATAAACTTAAGGATTAAAAGGGCAGTCGCTTAATTCAACAGATAAATACTTAACAATGGTTGGTTAGACACTCATGAAAATGAATCAACTCGAGATTCAGAAAAGAAGTCAGTTTTTCTAAAAGCAGTAGTACTTGCAGCATTCAGTAAAAGTACCCCCATTACATGTGGACACTAATGGCTGAGAGAAGAGGCATGAAGACTTGTGTTTCACGCAGTTCTGTATTCTCTACTTCCCCACACACACCACCACTGAAACAATGGTCTTACTTACATGCAACTGGTACTAAGAAATTGGCTGTAAGTAGTATTCTTCTTCTAAAAATCATGTATTAAACAAGAATCTTCCAATAATGCCACTAATCAAGAAGTCAATAAATCACACAGTTTTAAAACTAGAGAACTCTAATCATTTCTAGACCAATCTCTCTCTTTAGAAATCAATGTTAGAGTCTAGAAGGGCTAAGCACCTTCCTAGGTCCTGCACTCCTCTGCCCACTCAAGAGCTCCTCAGTGTGGAGAGCTGCGAAGGACTGCACCTACAAGATGGCGCTGGTTTCCGCCTTCCACCCCCCATGGGTGAGCGCTCTCTGTGCACAACAACTCCTTATATGGCCAGGGCTGCAGTCATGATTCGCTTCCGCATATGCTGGACCCATGGGCGATCCCCACGTGGCGCACTGGGATTGGGCTCGGGAGTATATATTAGCCAAGGGCTGGGGGATTGGGAGAAAAGAAGCTTGCAGTAAGGGGCCTGAATAAACTGCTGAAGGAAGAGCTGTGTGTTGCGTCTTCCTTGCTGGCGAGGTGGAGAGCAACACCTCAGTGCTACAAGCTTACCCTGTGGCATCTACTTTCTGTTAGTTTACTCTAAAAAATAAAACTAAAATTGTACTTTATTATACAAGAAGGTAAGTTTGAAAAGGACTATATACACCATGAGGCGGACAGAGAACTGGTCTCATCTGCAGTGAAGTCACCGTCTCCATGCAGAAAGGACAATTGGTGAACACTAAGCACCAATTACTTTTCAGCAGAGGATGTTCATTTGCCTTGCTGCACTCTCCAACACAAGACTCATCACGTTCCTGACACACCTCCCATCAACAGGTGGGATCTGTGTCCCCCAGGAGGCCAGGCTGGCTGGCTGCTTGCCAAAAGGTTACACAAAAGTCACACAGCCACAGTTTCTGGGCTCAGGATTTAAGAAACTTGTGCATCTACTTCTTGTATGTTGTGACTTTCACTCTTGGAGGAAACTGGTGAGAAACCAAAGTCATACTAAATTAGCAGCCATGTAAGTCAGCCATTTGAAAAGTGCAGCCCCTCCTGCTGAGGCTTGCCACCCAGCGCTGAGCACAGCAGGGATAAACTGCCTGCAAGGCCCTCCACAAGTTAAAGAACAAAATAAGACTGCTGCTGTTCAAAGCCACTATGTTCCTGGATGACTTGTTACACGGCAATAACAAAAAGAATACTAACGTTTCCGAATGCAACTGAAGCCCAAAGACACTGATCAAATTTTAGAAAAAGCACATATATTCAGTGAAGTTATGTTTTGTTAAGAGTAAGCAGGTCAGAGACGACCCAGGCCGCGGGATCCTGAACAGACCCAGAGCGCAGGCCCCACGAGTGAGTGAGACGACCCAGGCCACGGGATCCTGAACAGACCCGGAGCGCAGGCCGGCGAGTGAGTGAGACGACCAGAGCCGCGGGATCCTAAACAGACCCGGAGCGTAGGCCAGCGAGTGAGTGAGACGACCAGGGCCACGGGATCCTAAACAGACCCAGAGCGCAGGCCCGGC